TTACACGTCGGAGCTCGCGCTCGACGCGTGATCAGTCGATTCCGTACGCTACGCACTTCGCTCGCGCGTGATTTTTCTTGTCGCGCGCGTATGCTACGCGCGATTTTAATCACCTTTGCCTCTTCTTCCGTTACAGGTTCTCTATCCAGGACCAGGCCGGAACAACCCGCGAAGCCGATGACGACCACCAGGAAGTCGGATGCCCTGCTGCGAGGAACCGCGAAGATTCGCGTCGGCGGATTAATGGTTTTCAGCTCTCTCGGAAATCTCTGGATGTTTCCGTTGCCCACGGGATCGCAGGAACGGGATGACGAAATAAATTTCACTCGAGAAACAATTTCGTTTGTAAAAATATTTATTAAAATAAATATTATTATTTTTATTATCGCACTCGCGTGTGATAATTATTTCTCGACGAACGCACAATGAGCGATGCGTCGAGGGACGGGTTTTTACGTCGCTTGATTACTCGCGTCGGTTAACAATGTAACTCGCGCGCGAAACTGTCGAATTATCTCACTCTCAAATTAGCGAATACGCGATCCGGACTAATTATTTTAGCGAAAATCTGCAGAACACGACGGACTATCTTTCCTTTTTTCGGTTTTCAAGCTGAGCGCTATCCGTGGATATGGTTTCGAATTTTACACGCTGATCGCTATCCGTGGAAAGAGCCAGGAGCTCTGTCCGCGGCGGCTGATATAGCCTCCCCACTCTCGCGCGGCGCTTCGCCCCACCGGGCGCTGGCTCCGTCCATCACACCGCGCGCTGAAAAATTGTAAGTCCCGCCGGTGCAAAAATTTTCGAATTTCGAAAAATCCTTTTGGATCTACGCGTTTCGCGGTGTTCACGATCGAATGAGACGATAAAAATTTTTTCGAAAAATTTGGAGAAATTTCTCGAATTTCGAAACGAAACTTTGCGCGCCGACATTTCGCGTCGAAACACGCCGGAAAATGAAATAAAAATTTTTTCGAAAAATTTTTGGAAATTTTTTGAATTTCGAAACAATACTTTGCGCGCCGACATTTCACGCCGAAACACGCCGAAAAATGAAATAAAAAATTCGGGCGAATTTTTGCACTCTCGGAGTACACCTAGCGCACTTTGCGCACTCGCGCTCGAAACTAAAGTCTAAGTTCGCCGGAGAACGTTGATTAATCGCGTCTCGCGTCACGGCGAGTTACAAAACGAAATTATAAGTATCCGTTCGCTGCGGGCCTAAATCTAAGTTACATATGTACATCACCCGATGTGCTCGCTATCTGCACTTTCGGTTGTAGACGGCGAAAATCGTTCGCGCGCGCCACGCTTCGACGGGAAGCCTCCCCGCGCGTTCCCCGTTCGATTTTTCGGGAAAACCGGAAGTGCACTTTTTCGGAGCACTTTTGCACTTTTTTACAAAGTGACTTATTTCGACTCGCAGGGACCCGAAACAGATTTCCCGCTTGGTCCAGGGTCGAAATTCCTACGGGATCTCGAAACCGGAAGTGAGAATTTTTTCCTCAAAAACGGCCTCGGGACGCGTCGAAACGTATTCTGCGCCAAGTCCGAGTCGGCTACGATCTCGGGATCAAAAAATAGAAATAAGAAAATATTATCGCGGGAATCATCTCTAAATCTCCCGAAATGGATTTCCCGCCGGGTCCGGTGCCGATATTCCGTCGGCGAAGGAAAAATCAAAATCAAAATAATGATAGCGGAAAACATCCCCGTATACCGTGAAATGAATTTCCCGCCAGGTCTGAGCGCGATATTTGCTCGGGAAGTGAAAAAACTAAACGAAAAACGATCACGCGAGAAGCTACTCTACGCGACCCGTGACGGATAAAATAAAAATATATAGAAATCGACGCCGGTCTAACGTCTATGCTGACTCGCGGTTATCCCGGAGCTTGGACAAAAAATAAAATATAATTATCGTCGGGATCACACTCCACGACTCGAGAACTTAATATAATCTATATCGCACCGCTGTGCGATCGCAGGAGCGCCGTACATTCTATAAATAAACTACTAACTAGAGTCTATACAAAAAATGTATACGCTTTTATTTACAACGCTTTTTTATCGTCTTTTCCAGATGTTACTTCCAGCTGGAACAGCCTGGTCGAGCGCCGTCGTCTTCGCGCGTCGCCCTCCTTAAGTGTAGCATCGGGATTTTGTTGCCCTCTCGGTCCGTTTGGTACGCGACCGTCTCGGTCACCATCCGCGTCGGCGATCCTGAAACGGACGATCTCCTAGAATCGCCTCTCTCGGGGATCCCTCCGGTCTCAAGGTTAGGTTAGGTTAGGTTCTCCTCCGTGGACGAGCCACCTTGACGTGGTGGAGGGGCTTAAACCGCCCCCGGCCTCCGGGCCCATCGGGCCCCCCGCTTCGACACCTAGGTGTCGGGGGGGGCCCGGTGGGTCCTTCGGGCCCCCACTTCGACACTTTCATATCGGGGGGCCCGGGGGCCGGGGGTGGTGACCAAGAGCTCGTCATTGCACTTCCCTCCCCGGAAGGGGAGGAAGGGGAGTTCCGCTCCCTCCGGACGCCTTGATCTGATGCGGATAGGGGATGGCAAACCCTGACTACAAATGCCCGGTTTGAGGACACCGGTAAGGGTGGGATAACATCCCAATCCTCACTTTATTCCCCAACTCTTGTTCCTATCCCGAGACATCCTCTCTCTGCTTCTCACCCATCCCTACCTTTATCCCTTTTCCTCCCCATGGCCCTTTGGTTCCAACTTCTAGTGTGTGAATGTGTGTGTGTATGTGTGTGTGGCGCGTCTGGCGCACGTCCCCCCTTCCTCTTATCTCTGATCTCCTCTAGTCCCCCTCTAATACTTCGGGGTGGTTCCCCTCTACCAACAACCACTTCTGAAGAACCATGGAGCACGAAGAAAAAGGAAAAACGATTACGGCCGCAGTGGGCGTCGGAACCACAGCGGACGGCACTGGGGGAGTGTGGACTTTGCTCCCCTTGGGTCGACATTCGACGAAGGGCCGACCACCGATTTGACGACGGGATCGGTGGAGTATGTGGTTACCGCCGCTCTTGAGAAGAATGCGGAGAAGATTGAAGGAAGATCCTCACCAGCTGATATGATTCTCCGTGCTGGCAATGAGGAAGAAGTTCCATTACAGCAAAGGAAGTTAAGAAGCAGAAAGCCCACCGTGGAATTGGATGTGTCAACATCTTGGACTAAGATCGTCGAGGATGAAGCAATGGAAGTAGAAATTAGGCCAACTAATCGAGGCCTAAGTCGAGCGTTGAGCCAGGAGAGCTTAGTCTCTATAAGCTCGGCAAAATCAAGCAGAATCGATGCTCAAGGAGAAATGGATTCTAGTGGAAATGAAGCCCGGTCGCTGGTATCAGTAACCTCTATTGCTTCAGGATCCTCAAATAGAACCATGGCTAAGGCTACTAAGAGGAAACGTGCTGCTTTCAACATCACTCAAGCGGAGAAACGTTCTAAAGAGAACGATGCAATTGCAATACTAGACAGTGATGAGGAAGAACAGCTTACCACACTGTCTGAGAAAGCAACTTCGTAGTTAACTCCCTTAGGATCTGGAGATACGCTTAAAGCAAAAACTTTCGAGGAACTAGCCCAAACAGCCTTTACTTGGCTACACGACATAGACATTTCCCGGAAGAAATGTTCAAACATGAAAGGCTCGGTACATAAAGTGTTTAAAGACAGAGTATCATAGCTGGAGGAACTGATGCAATGTCTGGTTGACAAAGGAGGATCAACTGGTGATCCTATTTTATATAAGATGAAGTTAAGAGAAGCTAGTGAGAGACTTAAAGCTAAAGAGCAAGAAGAAAACAAATGGAAGGAAGAGAGAAGAAATTTGGAAAGAGAAGTGGAAGCTTTGTACAAAAAAATAGATGAATTGGAACTCATGGTTCATCAATTTAGTAGAGGAAAAGACTTTAATCTAGAAGAGTATAAGAAGGATAGTAAGTATTACCTGACCACATATCCAGCGTTTAGGCCTGCGATAAAGGGAGAAAGAAGGTTACTTACTGGTGAAGCTACTCTCACTAAGAACTTACCTGGAAAAGACGCACCTACCTGCCTGCGGAGTAGTAGTAGAGGTCTTGGTGAGTTTGTCGATGATGGAAGTATGGGTGTTCCTGGTCCTGGTCCTGGTATTGATCCGGGTCCTGGTCCTGGTTCTCCTGGTCCTGTCCATGGTCCTGGTCCTGGTCCTGGTCCGGTGGCCGCACCTAAAAAAGAAAGAGAAAAGAAACTAATATCAGGAAATGAAGAGGAAATTGAAAATATTAAAATACAAATAAAACAACTTAGTTTAAGGAAAAAAGAATTACATAAAGAAAGAAAAGAAACTGTTCCGAAAGTTAAGGTTATCAGTAATATACAGCTTGTCCCGCCCAGGCAAACGGATTTAGCTAAGAAAGAAGATATGGAAAAGTCAACGAATAAAGTGAAAGAGAAAGACAAACATGCAATAGTGGATACAAAGTCAGAAGAATGGACTACAGTTAATAGAAAAGAGAAAAAGAAACAGAAAAGAGGAAAGGACACGAGCCAAAGTCAGAAGAAAGACACGGTGCACCCTGACAAAGGAGGAACCAGAATCACTGGGGCTAAACCGCGCCGTAGGAAGCTGCCTAAAACAGCAGCAGTTGCAATAAGAGGAAGAAATGAAAATGCCTCGTACGCTGACATCCTCAAGAAGGCTCGTTCTGAAATATCTTTAAGTGAGATTGGAGTAGAAAACACTAGAATTAAAAAGGGAATTGACGGTGCGGTAATAATAGAGATTCCTGGTCCAGAAGGACAAAATAGTGCGGACCGGCTAGCATCGAAATTAAAAGAAGTCTTAAAAGATGACGATGTAAACGTTACATGTCCGTCTATTAAAGCGGAAATACGTGTATTTGGATTCGACGACTCGGTAACTACAGAGGAAATCCGCAATACCATCGCGGAAAAGACAAATCGTACTGTGGAAGAGATTAGAATAAGCGCAATATGATGGATGTATAATGGACTTGGATCTGTATGGATTCAATGCCCTGCGGCTGTGGCCAATCAAATTACTCAAGAAGGAAATCTGAAGCTAGGATGGACTATAGCTCGGACAAAACTCCTCCGGAAAAGGCCTCTTCAATGTTATAAATGTTGGGCGTACGGACACGTTAAATTCTCGTGCACGTTCAAAATCGATAGACGTAGAATGTGCTACTACTGTGGCATGGAAGGTCACTCGATCAAGAATTGTTGCGCGGAAGTTCCCAGCTGTGCAATATGTAGAGATCAAAAGCTGCCTCATAGACGAGTGGGTGCTAAAGGCTGCAGCATGGAGCAATCGACAACAAGTGGCAAACCGCTGCCACGCATCAAGTTGACAGAGAGAAGAAAAGCGATAGGAATGCCGGGTCGGAGGCCGGAAAATATGGAAATAGAGGATGCGATTTAATATCACTCAATGTAACCTAAACCATGCATGGGGTGCTCATAACTTGTTGCACCAACATATGCTGGAAAAAGACATTATTTGCCTTGGTATCGGAACCGATTTGTATTCCCGCTGTTGATTGGCAAGGCTCAAGGAACGGAAAGGCTGCAATAAGCTGGAAATCTAAAGATCTGGAGTATCAATGTAAATTGGATAAGCAGGGTACTGAGTATGTTATAATACAATATAACGATGTCTATTTGGTATCCTGTTATATTTCTCCTAATAGCACGTTGGTAGAATATAACCAATTCCTTGACGAATTGGAACGGGATATTAGACGGTTGAGGTGCTGTAAGATACTAATAGGTGGAGACTTCAACTCTAAATCCGAATACTGGGGTTCCAGTACTACGGATGCTAAAGGAGAATTGGTTGAAGAGTGGGCTGTCACGCATGGATTGGTGTTAGTTAACACAGGTACTACACCTACCTGTGTCAGACCGCAAGGAGAGTCTGTAATCGATCTTACTTGGGCTACTCCCAGTATGGTTAATCTGATAGCAAGATGGACTGTAGATGTTGAGTCCCTGACGCTGTCGGACCATAGATATATACAGATACAAATAGGAAAAAGTAGCTTATATACAAAGAAAAAAGAGGCTCAATCCACCATGCATAATAAATATCCACGTTGGAGCTGGCGTAAAATGGACACTGATATGTTTGTCGAAGCCCTTGAGCTGAGCAACACAACTTGGAAGTTCCAAGAAGAGGACGATCCTAACGATGATGCAAATAAGATTGTATCTATGATATCTGATGCTGCGGACATGGCCACTAATCGGATTAACACTCTGAAAGGAGGAAACAGGCATATTGGTGGAGCCCTGCTCTACAAGAGCTACGTAAGGATTGTATACGAGCTAGACGAATATGGACGAAGGCAAGGCTAAGAAAAAAAAGAAATAGAGAGACGGAAAAAGAGTTGAAAGATACAGAGAAAGACTATAAGACTAAAAGAGATATATTAACAAATGCTATTTACAAAGCCAAAGAGGAGGCATGGAATTCACTAATTGCTGAGATCGACAAGGACCAATGGGGTCTTCCATATAAACTTGTAATGGGGAAGCTGAGGAATTCCGCTTTGGGTTTGACAGCGACCCTGGACGCAGTCACATTGGACAGAGTAATAAGCGATCTGTTCCCTAGAAATGAAGTCCGCACTAGTGTACCCGTCACGCTGGAATGGAAGGACGAGTGGAATGTCACCCCACTGGAGATTTATCGAGTAGTTAACAAGAATAAAAGCAATATCAATGTTGCGCCTGGTCCTGATGGAATTGCACACGTGGCATGGAAAAGGATTCCTGACTTCTTTAGAAGTACGGTTGCAGAGTTGATGACGAAATGCCTGAAGAGTGACATATTCCCGGATCAGTGGAAAGTCGCCAAACTTGTACTAATACCAAAAGGACAAGATAATGAGGATGGTATCCCTAAGACCTATGGTATAAATACCTATGGTATAAGTACCCCTTAGACCTATTTGCCTATTGGATAAAATAAGCAAAATTCTGGAAAAAGTTATTATGCTAAGAATACAAGAGTGGCTAAGGCACAATGAAGGAAAACTATCCGCGAATCAATTTGGGTTCCGACCAAACCATTCAACCATTGATGCACTTAAAAAAGTGACTGGAGCTATAGAGGAAGAGATCGCGAATGGCGGCGTCGTTGTAGGCATTAGCCTTGATATTAAAAATGCTTTCAACAGTCTTCCATGGTCTAAAATTAAATATACACTACTTAAGAAGAATTTTCCTAGATATATAAGGAGAATAATAACTAGTTATCTAAGCAATAGGTATATTGAATACATGATTGAAGATGGTACCATACACAAAGAGCAAGTATGCATGGGAGTCCTGCAAGGATCTGTTGTAGGGCCTTTTTTATGGAATATAACCTATGATGGTATACTGCGGGTAGACAAGTTACCGGACACGGAGGTTGTTTGCTACGCGGATGATGCCTTATCACTGCGAGATAACTTTGAATCTGCTAAAACGAAAGCAGTGATAATGGTGGAAAGAGTCCTGGAAAGGACTCCATCAAAGGAAAGGAAAGGATTACATCATTAGGACTAGAGGTAGCACTACCAAAAACGCAAGCTGTTGCGTTTTATCGTAGGAAAAAGAAGGCTCCTCCACCGAATCTGTCATAAGAATTAACGGAGTAGATATTAAGATCATGTCCGAAATGAAATATTTGGGAATCATGTTAGATTCCAAACTTACATACGAGGAACATATAAGATATGCTACAAAAAAGGCGAGTAAGGTATGCAAAGCATTATGTCGACTAATGCCAAATTTGAGAGGTCCGTGCGAAGCGAAAAGGAAACTGTACGGGAACGTAGTGCAATCCATCGTGCTATATGGTTCCCCAATATGGGGAAAGAGAGAGACTGTCAAAGGTCAAAAGCCTCCAAAGACCATTGAGGCAGGTGCAGAGACTGGTCGCGGTGCGGATCATCGCGGGGTATCGTACCGTCGCATACGACATGGCGACTTGCCCGCACTCCACCGTGGACACTATTATCCGAAAAGTATAGGGAAACCTACTGGCGCATCAAACAGCACATCTTAGATGGTATGCTGGATAGAGAAATGGAGAAACGAATCAGGAAAGAAGAAGATGACTCCCTGATGACGAAATGGAAAAATTCTATTCGACAAAGTCCTACTATCGCTGGTAGTAACAATCCAGCTAGAAGAGCCATATGTGAACATTTGGAAGAGTGGCTGAATAGAAATCATGAAGCAATTAACTATAGGATGACACAAATGTTGAGTGGACATGGCTGTTTTCGAGCATTCCTCCACAAAATCGGTAAAGAGGACAACAGTAATTGCTTACAATGTGTGGGATCTTCTTCTTGGAATGCAAAAGAGGATACAGCTAACCACACCATGGTAGAGTGCCTAGCTTGGCATGTTGAGAGAGAGCAGCTCCTAGCTACGATGAAATGCCAACGTACCTGGAGGAATATTATCTCTGAAATATGTCAAAACAAAGATAAATGGAAAAGTGTAAATAGTTACGTGCAAACTGTAATAAAACAAAAGGAAGAGCTCGAGAGAATTAGGGAAAGACAGAGACATACTAATGATCGAGGAATAGATTAGAGGAGGAGCAACGTATAAACATAATAGTACACACACACACACACACACACACACGCACGCACGCACGCACACACGCACGCACGCACGCACGCACGCACGCCCGCCCGCCCGCCCGCACGCACGCACGCCCGCACGCACGCACGCACGCACGCACGCACGCACGCACTTACCTATATACTTATATACTTACCTACATACTTACCTAACTAGAGATGGACTTTATTTATGTACATTTATGTATACAGGGTCTACCAAAAGTGTGGAAACCCCTAAATATCTCGGAAAATATACGTTTTACAGAAAAGTGTTTCCAACAAAAGTTGTAGGGTTTAGGAAGATCTATATACTGATTCTATCAGTTTGACCTTGGATGGCGTCGTCAAGGTCAGGTCAAGGTCACATTGACTTTTTTAAATGACACCCCCTACATTTGATTGCATATTCTTATAGCTTAATTCAAGAGCTTTCCAAAACACTATAATAATGTTCATTTTTATTAAGTACTTTGCGAGTTATGAGGGTTGAATGATAGAGTAGCGCCGGTATTAACATTATCCAAGGTGTACTACATGGAGGTTACTCGCTCGGATTTGCATCTGTTGTGTGTGTGATCCAGCTAACTAAGGCAAGATCGATTCCTCAACATATCCTCATATTTCGCTGAAGTCAAATTGCCAAAAAATTGCTCCATAAAACGTGTATGAAACGTCTCGTTAGTTCCTTCATTTACCGCTATGTGACGCACTACATGCAGTCTAACTCGCATTTAAAATTCAACTAAGAATGTATAAAGCTATCAAAGAACGAGCACCTTCTAACTTCAGCTTTGAGCAAGCAGAAATTAATTGTTATCGTCCAAATACAACGTACGATTAATTAAAATTAAACGTTTTAAAAATGGCTGGCGACTTGTCGGAACGTGAAAGAATCACTATCCTCATGATGCGTGGATGGGGTGATAACGAAAGATCGTTCTCTGATGTCGTTCGATTATTTAATGACACGTATCCGAACCGTCGAATTAATAAGTCCACTGTGTTAAAAACAATAGAACGTTTTAGACAAACTGGTAGCGTAAGAAATCGCTCTAAGTCAGGAAGACCATTGTCTGCAACCAACGAAGAAAAACAACTTGATGTTCTGTAGACATTTATTGAAGATCCCAATTCTAGTGTTCAGAGAGTCGCTCATACTCACGATATTGCTCCCATGTCGGTTTGGAGAATTTTAAAGAAGAACAAGTTCCATCCATATAAATTGCAATACGTTCAAGAATTGCAAAACGGAGATGAGGAGCGTCGTATACATTTCTGTGAAAGAATGATGGCACTAATAGATGTCCGGCCCATCTTCCCTTATCAAATTGTTTTCACAGACGAGGCAACTTTTACCTTAACGGGAGAAGTTAATAATCAAAATTTTCGTTTCTGGTCAGATGAGAATCCGAATTGGGTGCGGGAAACTCACACACAACATCCACAAAAAATAAATGTATGGTGCGGAATAATAGATGGCTATTTAATAGGGCCGTTTTTTTTTGAAGAATATTTGAACGCTCAAAGGTATGAGAGATTACTTGTTGATCAAATAATTCCAGCCATACAGAATACTTTTCCAAATAATTTCCAAGAAATATGGTTTCAGCATGATGGAGCTCCTGCTCATTTTGGTGCAGGACCACGTCGTATTTTAAATGAGACTTTTCCGCTACGGTGGATAGGAAGAAGGAACGGAAATGAGGGAGGAGAGGATTGGCCACCTCGGTCACCAGATCTAACTCCTCTTGATTATTATCTATGGGGATATCTGAAGAGTAAGGTTTACAGAACAAAACCTAAAACCATTCACGAATTGATACAGCGAATAAGGGATGAAATGGCTTTGATACCTTTTGAAACGAATCGTAAAGTCATTTCTACATTCTACCAAAGATTAGCATATTGTCAGGAAGTAAATGGCAGCCACTTTCAGCATTTACTTTAACACATTGAAACACATTTGCAATCGTTTGGTGCAACCTAACCTGATCTCTGTATACACGCACCGCACGCACGCACACGCACACATTTCGAACAATTATTATGATAAATGAGCATCCACAAATTTATTTACTGTTTACTATGTCGATTGCTTTCCAGGTCTTTAAATGCTCGATTGTAATTTGGTTGGGTCTTTGCTTTTGCTGACTGGATCCACGACCGATCTTGCCTTAGTTAGCTGGATCACACACACAACAGATGCAAATCCGAGCGAGTAACCTCCATGTAGTACACCTTGGATAATGTTAATACCGGCGCTACTCTATCATTCAACCCTCATAACTCGCAAAGTACTTAATAAAAATGAACATTATTATAGTGTTTTGGAAAGCTCTTGAATTAAGCTATAAGAATATGCAATCAAATGTAGGGGGTGTCATTTGAAAAGTCAATGTGACCTTGACCTGACCTTGACGACGCCATCCAAGGTCAAACTGATAGAATCAGTATATAGATCTTCCTAAACCCTACAACTTTTGTTGGAAACACTTTTCTGTAAAACGTATATTTTCCGAGATATTTAGGGGTTTCCACACTTTTGGTAGACCCTGTATATGTCTACTTACTTACTTAAGTCAAATGTATATACACTCGTCCACAAAAAAAACGCATCACTTAAATTGCATCAAAAAATAGCCTAAATTCAAAAGTGCAAAACTTCAAGAAGAATGATCCGATCAAAGCGTTCTTGGTCTCATTTTAACGCTTGAAACCTCTAGTTTAAGATGCTTCGATGCCGATATCCGTGCATTTCCCCCCGTCCCGGGATCCTGAAGAAAACGGACATGCCTCAAGCATCAAAAAAATTGGTCGAGTTTGACAATGCCCACGGACTGAGATAAATTTTTTCAGCATGTCTCATGTCAGCCATGTTAAACCTTGCACTTTTCCCTACAAAATGAAAAAAAAAGAAGTCGCTACGATTTTTTCACGCCGAGTTACGGTCGTTTGAAAAAAAAGTTGCATTTTCGCTTTATTGTCGCATAACTCAGTCAAATGTCATCTGATCGAAGCGTTTCTTTTTTCATTTTAAAGCTTGAAATCTGTACTTTAGGAAGCATTAGAAATATTTTATTCATCGGTTGATCCCAATTTGTTGCAATTGTTTAACAAACATGATGTTTTTAAAGAAAACATGCCAAACTTTTCATGACCCCATGGCATGCAGAACAATTTTTTTGCTTAACCTCGTCCACAGCACTTTAAAATACGCATTCTTCCAAACAAAATGAGAAAAAAAACATATTTGTACGATTTTTTTTAGCGAAGTTACAGCTGTTTAAATTCAACGTGATTTTCTCACATTACTCCAGTATGCACGAAATGAAACTGAAAAATGCGAAAAACGGTGTTAACTTTAAAAAGCTGTAACTTGGCCAAAAATGTTCCGATTAAGATGTTTTTTTTTTCATTTTGAAGCTCCGAATGTGTACCTTAAGATGCATTTAAGACATTTTCAACACATCCTTTGTTCTGTCCGCCTTTTTTATGAAACGAAGATCAGAATTGTAGAAACTTTGCATTACTCTACGACATGCAATAATTTTTTTTCGCTGAACCACGTCTGCAGCGTCACAATGCACGCACCTTTTCGTACAAAATGAACAAATAACGATCTTCCTACATTTTTTACATCTAAATTTAAATAAAGTCACTAGGATTCTTTCTGACAAATTTGCGGCACATCAACGATATGTATGCATTTTGTTCATTTACCGCCAGCATTAGAATTACCCGGTACGCACCGCGAGGAGGTTGCTGGTCGGATTTTGCGTACCATTTCGCCCTGAAAAGGGCGGTTTTTGCACGCAATATCCGGCCGGCGAAGGCAAGATAAGCGCGCGGCTCATCCGGCAAGTGAAGGCAAGATGAGCGCGCGATTGATCCGGCCGGTGAAGGCAAGATTAGCTCTTAATAACGCGTATTACTGCCACGTCTACGAGTCACTTCTCGCAGACGGTTCGACATGCTGTTAACGCAAGCTCGAATAATATCTTGCGGTATCTCGCGCCAAAGTCTTCGCAGAGTTTCTACCAATTCCTGCATGTTTCTGGGAGGCTTTTGTAATCTCCGAAGTCTTCTTCCCATGAAGTCCCACACGTGTTCTATTGGATTCAAGTCGCGACTTATTGCTGGATGTTGAAGAACTTCAATGTCATTATCCCGTAAAAAATTGCGCGTAATTACGGCAGAATGAGCGCGAGCGTTATCTTGCATTAGTACGAATCTTGGTCCCATGAGTTGACGCATCGACAACACTTCGGGAATCAAACACTCATTTATGTAGCGTTCTGCTGTTAGGCCGCCTCTATTGCCTTGATTGTCGGGAAGACGTGGTATGACGACTAGATTCGTGCGCCTATCCCGCGATACTCCGCCCCATATCATAACTGATCCACCGCTAAACGCGCGAACAGATTCGATCATGTTTTCTTCGAACCGTTGCCCACGACGGCGCCAAACAACGGATTCTGCCATCCGAACCATAGAGGCCGAACCGCGACTCGTCCGTGAAAAGGACATTCCGCCATTCCCTCCAAGTCCAATTCGCATGATTTCGTGCATATTGTCTTCGGCCTTCTCTATGACGGCCCAGAAGTAACGGCGCTTGGGCACGAGCTCGCGATCGTAAACCCTGTTCGTGTAATCGTCTCCTTACAGTTTCATCACTTATCTGTCTATTCGGCATAACAGCATGCGCGATTTGTCGCGCTACAAGCACTGGATTCCGTATCGCCGCTCGAGCCAAATTTCTATCCTCCCTTGCAGTTGTGACGCGTCCTCTACCTGATCCTATTCTGCGGCCATATCTTCCAGTTTCCCGAAATCGGTTCCAAATCCGTGAGACGGTCGACTGATTGATGCCCAATCTTTCAGCAACGTATCGCTGACTAAAGCCTTCCTCCAACAAAGCAACAATACGGGCAGAATCATTTTCGTTAACCGCCATAATTCTGTTAA